AGGCGTCACCGAAGTGTTTCGAAAGACAACATTGGCAATCTGGTCCCTGTTAGATGGAACGAGCTGGAGTCTACCGGTCAAAGGATCGGGCACGCACTCACTCACTGAATAGCGGACGCATCAGCAATAGCCCCCCAATTTTTGCACCCCTCCTCTTCCCGACACCGAATTTCATTCCATTTCGTGGACACGCCGCCAGCGCGGTCCCCGGGGTGTATTAACAGCATTCCGCCAAATATGTTTTTCGAGAGACACTCACTGATGATGATGTTCGTGCTGACTTTTGGGTGGATGATGAGCGACGCGGCTCGCCAGAAGATGTTGTTGGAAATAGACCCTTTCTGGTTGCCGTCGGAGTTGTAGCGGGTCTGGTTTGAGCCGATCATTGCGTCGCTGAATGGAAGCATCATCCAGCAGGCGTCTATGCGGGCCTCGTCACGGGGCTTGCGGTTGTCCTTGCCCTTGGAGGCCGCTGCTGCTCCTCCACCCGACACGTTCTTAAGAACGAAGGAGAGTCCCTGAATACGCACGGCCAGCAGGGAGCATAACGCAGAAGGTGGCGAGAAAGGGTACCGTGTTGGTAAAAAAAGTGGTTAGGTCCACGCGGAGTTAACTTAGGCTGCGGTGTGGCATACACATCCGGCGTTTGTCTGACGAACCATATTCCATATTTGTCATCATTCATACCCACCGCTGTTAGTATTCCCGACAACATTTTGTTTTGCATGTACAAGTAATTGCCGGGGCCGCGAATCGACGTTCCTTCATCAAGACCGTCGACACGCCGAGCCACGCTCTGCATTCACAAAACAATAAGAGGGCCATCGCCTAATAGCAGTTTATTCTGCGCCACGGTCGCCCGATAGCTTGTGCCGAGTGGACAGTGAAACAATGGCACAGCTTCACGACACCAATGTCCATCAGTGCTCAACAGACCAATCTCTGCTGCAACCCCACTGCTACATATGTCTGTTGAGCACGCTACACGCGCTACCCGATCAGGGTAGCACCGCCACATAACACGCATCGCGTTATACTCACATCGTTGGGTCCGAGCATGCTGATCAAGGTGCCAGCAAGGGCGGCCGCCCCACCACGCCCGACCACCCAGACTGCCGCTTCGGCGATCGAGGCGACCGTATGGTCGCTGTGAATGTGTGCTGAGCGAAGCACCTTGTCGTCTCGTCGGCTCGTCGTTGGGCCAGCCCACGACTTCCGCTTACGGCGACGAGCCCTGTCGACCTCACCCGTGTTATATCCACCATCTGCGCCCCAGCCGCCATCCCCGCCCGCTCCGTGCCCGCCCTCACTACGACGGCCACCACCGCTGCGACCAGCTGCACCCGTTCCCCATCCTCCCCTACGGCCGCTGCTCCCACCGCCCGCCCCACCCGCCCCGCTATCGTTCTCATCGCCCTCACTGCCACTGTCGTCATCCATCCTTCTCGATCCTCCCCCACCGCCGCCACCACCGCTCCCGCCCCCGCCCGCTCCGTGCCCGCCCTCACCACGACGGCCACCACCGCTGGTCCCACCGCCCCCCCCACCCGCTCCGTGTTGGTACTCACCGCCGTTATCGCCACTGCCGCCACCCGTACTCGAACTCGATCCTGCCCCGCTGCCGCCGCCACCACCCGTTCCGAACCCGTCCTCGACGCCGCCATCACCGCCGCTAGTCTTACGCCCTCCCGAGTCTGTCCTGCGTTTGCCACTGCCCAACCCTTTTTTTTTGCCACGCCCAGCACTCTTCCCCCCCTGCCTACTACTGCCCTGCCCGCCCGCGTTACGTGCCGCTAATAGGTTTGGTGAGGGCGGTCCTTCGTCCTGGGTTTCCTCCTCCTCATTGCCCGGCGGACACGTTTCTGGAACGTGAAGATTGGTCCCTCCCACGGTCGCGAGCGGTTGTCTCTGTCACCCGCGCCGAAAAGTACAGGGGGGTCGCTGTGATCGGCTTTTTTTACGACTGTTGTTGCCAAGCGACGAAAACCAAACCACTATGCCAAACACCGGTGGGGGGGTGGGGGGTAAACTCTAAACCGGGGGGGAAACTCCGTAATATACGGAACTCCAACGGCATGCATGCGTTGTTTACATTGCGTAAAGGCACGGTATCCAAAATTGCAAAAAAAAACTACTGAAGTGTGTAGATTGATCTGTTGGGTGCACGCCAAAACCCGCAACCTCCCCTGCCGTAGCTGTGATGGATAGGGACACGCACTAGACTACACATAGCAGTATGTGGGGTGATGTCTCGATGTCCTGTGGAGAGTTAGTTGCCGTATGCATACGTGATAAGGCAAGTCCGTTGCTGGCGCGTACTGCTGTTGCTGTGTGCTGCCGTATCAAGGGTGCTGCTGTTGTTGTAGATACGCGCGTGCCACCAAAGCTGTGCTAACCCTTGGCCTGCGGTAGGTCTGCGAGTACTCCGGCAGACGTATGTTGTACATCTATGATATATGCTGTCAATCACCTGCGAAGTGTGTCGGCCTTCGTCATGATGGCGGTTGCCACTGCTGCTGTAGAAAAGGTGTGCAAATGGATAACAGCGTGCGTGCTGCATACTTACATACATGACCTGCGCTACAGCACATTCAGTTGCGCTACATAGGTCCATAAGTACCGCTGACGAGGACTGCGCCTCGTTGCTCGATGCTGTCTGTCTATCATTTGCGACGTGTGTCGGCCTTTAGCATGAAAGGTTGCGCGTGACTAGACGACGTGAAACGAAATATAGGTAAGGAAGAGAAAGGGGACAGAAATTATATAATTAATTAATTAAATAATTAAACAGGGATATATTGCGGGGCCCTCAAGGGAAGAATTGAAGAGCGAGAGATTTTGGGGACGCAGGTTCCGTGTCGCGAGTTACGGACGTCGATGCCATTCCGTCAATTCCGTCACGCAAGGATCCCAAAACCCAGATCGAGGGAGGAAGTTGGCACGAAAAATCCAAATGGGTGACCTGGTCACGGAACGCGGCAAATCATCATCGCGGATGACGAATATCCATCCGGAAGGAAAGACGGAACACAACCGCGATAAACGGATGTTAACCCCTAATAGCGACGGGAGACCTAAAATAGGGCAGGATGGTACCACCATGGATCAGAGGTACACTGGCCAAAGTACGGGAAACCGTAAAAAATAATTCCGCTATGAGAAAGACAAAAACACGGTCAAACTACAGCACGAATGCAATAATACCCTCTAGACTTGCACAGAAAACGATCCGAAAAGTTGAGTACGAATGCAGGACTATACAAATAACATGAAAAACACACGACGAATATGAGGACGACTCGAAATTAGACTGCCAAACAATACCCTAAACACGGGAAACCGCAAATAAATTCCACCGTAAAACTGCAGACGGAACACGGCTACCGCGGCAAAGAGCACCGAGACATAACACTGGCTAAATGACGGGAAGGCCGCGGAGATGTAAATCTACTGCGCAGTGAATGAATCTATTGGAAAAGTGCAGTGGTACGCGTACGAAACCTATAATGTGCGTACAGAAATTAAATAATTTGTTAATTAACACAACCGCGAGAATCTACTGCGCAGTGAACGAATCTACGGGAAAAGTGCAGTGGTACGCGTACGAAACCTACAATGTGCGTACCCGAAAGCGACTAATAAGAAAACGATCACGGTACGAAAAATCACGACGAGAACCGGAACGGGACGGCGCGGGTCATACCCCGCCAGACGGTACGAGGAACTGATACGCTACAGGCGAGTGGGAGACGTTCACAGCAAACAAAACAAGACAATAAAGCAGCGGCACTACGCAACGAGAAATTGGACATGACACAGATCTACGGAAAGGTCCCCAAACAGAAATCAGTACAAGCTAGCGCGAGACTTCCTCTTCCCATGGGAAGTCGTGGAGCAGCGGGAGCACTGGATGCCTTGAAACTCCACGACGTCGGCGTCCGCGTCCTCCTCACCCCCGCGCACTCCGCACGATCGGTGGAGGTCCCCGTCGCACAGGTTGCACGCGACCATCGCGATGTTGCCGGCCTTGGTGCACCGTGGCTCCACACACTTGGGGCAGACAATGAGCGGCAGGTCCTCCGATGCCGACGACGTGTCCTCCGCAGTACGGCCGATGCGGTCCCACTGACGACGAGCGGGAGGCGGCGTCGGGGCGGCGGCGACGTCGGGGTCGGAGCCGGCGTCGGAGTCTGCGTCCACGGGGAAGTTGACGACCCCTGCCGGGGCGCGATGAGACTCCGCAATGTCGCGCATGATGTGCTCGCGGGCGATGTCCATGGCGGTCGTGGGAGCACACCTTCGCCTGGTCGACCGTCATCTCGGAGAACTCGCGGTCCTGGTAGTCCCACTTCTCGAAGGACGAGCTCACGCGCCCGCCCTGCCCGCCGGAGAAGAAGAGCAAGTAGGCGTCCTTGCGCGTAAAGAGCGATGGGGAGATCAGCGCCGTGAAGTAGGCATCGGCGCGCGCGGCCTCCATAGCGAATGCGCTGGTCGGGCAGATCCACGTGTGGCTGGGCATCCCCTCCCCGTCGTTGATGTCCCACGAGATCAGCTGCACGGGTGAGACGGAGATCCCGCGAGGAGTGCTCCTGCTGAGATCGAAGCTCGGAGACGACGGATCGCTGGAGGGTGCGGTACTCGGCGCGGGCGATATTGACCTCGGTCCCCGACACGCCCTTGGTGACCGTCTTGAAGTGTGAACGTCCTTCGTCCTTCGAGCAGTACCCGCAGATCCCTTCAACGAATAAAGACATACGAATTGTGGGAGGGGAAACGCAAGGGAATAAAAGAGAAGGATTAGCCACCGGCAAGACGAAATAATGTAACCGTCGAAGCAACAAAACGCAACCAGAAAAAAGTCCAGGAAGGAAAGGACGAAACGTACATGGGGTATGATGGAATAAAAATATGTCGAGGGGGTACGCATGTGGAGAACATAAACAAAAAAATGGAGAGGGTATGCAAGAGGATAAGAGAGAAAGACGAGCAACAGGCAAGACGAAACTTATCTGTGGAAGCAGTAAAGGGCAAAGAACCAAAAACAAACGCTGACGAGTGAAGGAAGAAGCGTACTTGGGCGATGAACGCAAGGAACAGTAGGCAACAGAGACGGATGGGTAGACTTTATTCACAAATACAGGGCACCGAAACACATCGTCGGAAAGCAGGGCAACGGACGACAGACAACACATAAAACAACATAAAGGAGCTACAGAAGACGTGTCTCCACTTGAAAATGAGATGCCTAAAAATACAGACGGACATTAAAGCTCTACAGAAGTCTCGAAGAGAAGAACCCACCGCTGAATGTCTGTAGCTTGACGAGGCGCTTGATGGTGATCCTTGTCCGCCGCAGTCCACCCGCAGTCCACCCGAAGCTTCCTCCTCGAGGCCGCCTCCTCCTTCTTGCTGTCACCAAAGTCCTTCTTCAGGGACAGGGTCCAGATACCCTGGAGGTGTAGGTTTCCGTTCATGTCTCGGCGCTCCATGCTGGTGACGCCGCGAACTGCACGCTTCGTCATCCATGCACAGCCTTCGTTGAAGAGGCTCTCCTTCATGTTGGCGCCACTGCGGTTGCCGATGGTCACGGAGAAGTCGTGTGGAGCGCCGACGCCGCTGTCGATGATGTCAGCGGCGATGTCCCCTGTGGTCGGACAGATCCAAGAGGGCTCCCTGGAAGCAGGAGGACTCTTGCGAGGGCGACCAGGACGGCGAGCCGATGTCGCAATCGCAGGAGGAGTGACGGGGGCCGCTGGTGCAGACGTAGACGGTGCTGTCGTTGAAGGAGGAGATGCCGACGAAGGTCGCGGAGAAGAGGGCATCGAAGGCTGAGAAGCTGCTCCACCCGCCGCCCCGCCCCCGCCGTCGGGCGGGGCAGCGGGACGACCGGTGTCCTTGCGGGGACGACCCGGACCGCGACGCGAGGAGATATCCGAAGCAGGAGAGGGAGGGGCGGAAGCGGAATCCTTACGGGGGCGTCCAGGGCGACGGCGATGGACGTCTCCGGCTGCGGCTCCGGCACGGCTGGCGGCGGCCTGGGCTCCAACAGACCGACCCCGCGGGCGCCCGACAGGACGACGAGGCGACGTAGTGGCGGGAGGACGGGTAGAAGAAGGGGAAGAGGGAGCGGCGATAGCCTCGCTGGAGTCGTCCGCCGTGGGAGGACGGCGAGGCCGGGTGTCATGTCCTGTCGTGGGAAAGGCAATGGCGGGGACAGAGCATAAAGTAGCGAGGAAAGAATAAGATGATATGGCATACAAATACACACGCTGTGCGATAGCAATATTTGTTGAGGCAGCGAGAGTAAGGCGGGACGATGACAAAATACCTATCCCAACAAGAAAAACTATAACGACCACCCAATTACTCAACACTTGAACACATAACGCATTGGGGACTGCACGCATGACACCAATGATGGTAAAAGCAGACCAAAGACAAGAACAGTGAGGAGGAAGAAGAGCAACCAACCAAAGGAAGTGCGTCAAGGACGACGAAGTGCTGCAGTTGTCTGGAGGAAGCAAAAAAGAGGAAGATGATACATTGAGCCATACAGACAGACACAAAACCGAACCCGATAACAGGCAATAACCTCGCCTGAAAGCAGTGAACGCACCTGAGTTGCTCCTGGACCTGGACCTGGTGACGACGGCGTCACCAGGATCTATTCCAGGTGCTTGCTCTGTTGAGGACGTCCGAGTTTTTGATGGACTTACGGTCTGCCTTGGTTACACTGAGTACGGCGAACTTGGGGACGAGGAACATAGTAGCAAAAGAGGGACACGATCGGACGGAGAGAGGTAAGGAAAGCGAACGAAACTCCGAGGGTAGTTGGTGAGACGCTTGAGCACGCGGGTGTGCATATGTATGCTTGGAGTAAGTACATGCAACCAGAGATAGGATACCAGAGAACTCACGAAGGACTAGGATGTTTATATTTCGCAAGACACAGAAAGAACGAAGAGGTGAAAGAGCGTGGCGAAAGTTGCATGAACACAGAAAGGTGGGTGTACATTTAGCGTTGGACAAAACGCGAAGCTACTGGAGGGTTGTGGTGAACCGCACAAGAAGGCAGAGAAGGATGACAGGAGAAAAAACACATCGAAAAAACCACGAAAGAGAGCATTGAGAGAAAAAAATGATGAACCTACATAGAAATTCGCGCAACGAAAAAGTCAAAGATAAAGTGATGACTACAAACTGGCGCCCTCACCTTGGCGACAGACGCTCCCAGACGTTTCAGGTCCTTCCTGAGTTGTTGTGCGACGGCCCGAATCGCGGAGTCGTCCGAGCGTTTGATGATCCACACCTTGGCAGGAATAGAGGCGACCTTGGGGACCCCAGCCGGCAGGAAGAAACCGCGGTACTGCTGTTTCTTGATGTGCTCCCGGTAGGTGAAGCCGTTCTCGATGTACAGCAGCCCAGTGTTGTTGAGAACGTTGAAAGATACTTCGTAGGATGAAGACATTCGCTTAAGAAGAGCGAGTGGTGGGGAGTAGAGGATTATGAGGAGGAGGGGGGAGGGGGAAGGCAGGGGCAAACTAACCCTCGCGCTGCTGTTCCCCAAAATTGAGTGGCTGCCCGTCCCGACTACCCGTGAGCCACAAAGGCAGAAACGAGAATAACAGATTCCGCGAAGAACATTCTACATGCGCACGCCCCAGGGCTCTGGGGCTGCTAGAGGCCGCAAGGGGAAAGCCAGCGTCCATAAGCGCATCGGCCGCCATGATCGCGAGCTCTTTTGGGAAGTTGGCATCTACAGAGCTGACCAGAATTCCCATGTTTCGAAACAGAAAGCCAGTTTGGCTGACGTGAAAAATCTCGCCGCAAAACTGACGTCATGCATTCGGTGGGAACCGTTACACGGTTGTGCGCAGCAGCAGCACGCGAGGCAGGCACGATCACTCGACCGCGCATGCTACAACAGAACTGTCGATTGCCTATAAAGACATACTGAAGGAGTAGTGACGAAACGGGAGTCACACTTATGACAGCCCGTGGACGGTGGAGGGGGGGCAGCTCTCGCAACTAAATTCGAAGGTAGCCGGAAGCGGGATACATAATTCAGGCCTGAACGGTCCAGGATGGCAGTCGTGAGACTGCAGGACGTCGCCAGCGCTTTCAAACAGATTGGTAACCTCCTTCATGCATGCCGACGGACCGAGTAGGTCGACACGCGGGAGGTCGGGCGGCAGGACACATGGTATTTTATCTTCTCACGGGAACAAATAAATAAACAATTACTCTGAAACCAAGAGAAGCAATTTTTTTGTAGTGGGGCAGACGAAAATTGTTTCGAGGAAAACAAATTAGGGGACTCTACTCTCGAAATACATAAAAACCGACGGTAGTCTATATTCTAGGAAAAGGTGGACTACAAGGACGACCAATATAAGCAATTATATATAGCCCCCCAACATGGCTACGACACGAAAAACACAGGGAAGTCTTCCGCTGCTGCTCCAAATGGCTTACTACCTCGCATGGGCCTCTTCGGTTGCTCCTTCCCACACAACAACCAAGATTACTCTCCATCTGTCATCACATTCCTCCCATCTCACGGACTCATACCAACCTCATCTACTGTCGTCTCATAATTACACTCATCACACAACAGGAGGTTCAAATCGCGTTCGTGTTGGGCTTTTGAAAAATTCAAAATGAGCGGGAAAACAACAAAAAAACAGATGCTCCAAGCTCATGTACGACTGATTCAAAATTACGACAGCACTGATTTAAATTGCATTCCTCCTTTTCGGAAGATTCCAAACGCGTATGTATATAGGACTACAATGGAAATGACATGATTTTGCCTTTGTATTTAGCACCTACTGGTATCACTGAAAATGCTCATCGGTGTAGTATAGGCTTAACATAGACTCAAGAGAAGCAAGCCCGGTACCCAGTCGGTTTTCATACTCTATGCATTGCAAAGAGATTCAACACATCCCGGCTGTTTCTCGAACGGTTGTTTTTGTGTGTATTTTTGTCTTAAACCATTTCGTGACTCCATGCACATGATAACAGACGAATCTTTTTGTAAGCTCCATCAGCTAATCGACCCCACAGTATAACTATCGCAAAATATGTGGGTGGGGTGTTTGTTTAATTCATTATAATTGCATGTTTTTAGTTTTTTGGTTTCGGGGAGACATACATGTCGCAGGATTAATTACTTCGGGGGCCATCAACCTTCTGGTCGAACTTTTTCGGCCATGCAAAAATCGCCAGAGTGGCTTTGAAGCGAACTCAAGACGGGTCGGCTCACAGGCAGGAGTCTGTCCCCTAGGCCAGCCGTCTATTCGTTATATTTTGGCGTGAAAAACTCCTTTCTCAACAGCAAAAAACAACAAATAAATGGCCCTGGTGCCAGGTGCCAGATGTCAGTCAGTACGAACGAAATCGTGTACGGAGGAACAGTTCTTCTACGAATCCTCTCACACTTGCCACACTGCTCTGAAACTTCGTAGGAATGTGGTTCAGCCATTGACGTCATGCAGGGATAGCTGGCTCTAATTTAATTAATCCAAACAAACTCAAGTGATACAGCAATTTCCGACTTTTGGGGCATAATTACAATATAATATGGAAAAATGTGACGGAAAAAATACACCATTATCTAATTCCGTACTGAAGATAGAGAGGGGTTTTATCTGGATGCTATTGTGCATAAAGTCACAAAACCCTCTCCCTTGAGCGGACGTTGATACAGCAAACGAACCCCCCTTCACTCCCAATATTCCGGAATTCCGGACCACACATCCCGCAGTCATAGCAAACATCAGACACCGAGGAAGTACGTCAGCATCGGCTACGGCGTGCGTTGTCTCTGTCCCCCGGATCGGGTCGATCACATGTCGGGGTATCCACCCTCCCGTGGTATTTTCCGTTTTGGATCCTACAGCAGTCGGCAGTATATATTTCGCATTTGGAGAGAAAGAGGTCTATATATTATGCATATGCACATGTATCTGCCCCACACCAGAAACATTATTACTGCCATGTCTACCCCTGTGCGCTGCTGTGCACACACTGCTATGTAATATATGCGTGTTCATGTGGTCAGTCTGCTGCCTCTTGGTCTCTCTGCTGGTCTTTACGGCGATCTTTCGGCACACAAAGTTAGCGTCTGATGTCATCATGCATGGAGTAGCAAACGTAGCGCGTCTCGTAAAGAGGTTGCCCAAAACGCATCGTTTCATTTCTTATGCATCCTCTTCTTCATGGAGTTTTCTACCTTTGGCAATCGGTCAGCGCCGATGGTACGTCGTAGCATCACCTACGCACTGCTGTAGTGCATGTATGTACAATAATTGTATGCATTCCGGTATAAATGCGTGTGTGTGCCAAAAGGGAGACGAGCGAAGGAGTCAACGGCAAAAAAAATAGTTCATCGTAGAATAAGTGCGTGCAAGAGCTGTATGTTTTCACTTTGGCTCACATCTGGACTCTCTGGCTGCGGAACCCGGCGGCGGCGGCGGCGGGCCCTCTTCGGGTGACGTAGTGCTACTTTCAGTCGGCGAGGCGGGCTCTCGCCGTACTGAAGCAGCACCCTAGCTACCTGCGTTGTGCAGTTATTGAGTTCTTCATTTGGTCCACACCCAAACTCATCAACTGTTGCTGTACGATCAGTGCTACTCACGGCGCCGGCACCGCCCTGATGTGATGCGCCGCCCTCGTTGCGGCAGCCGTTGTTGCGGGTGTTGGGTCGCCTGGCGTTGGGAGTTGACATTCCTTTGGCAGACGCGGGATGTTCTGCACACTCTATTTTGGCTTGAAGACGCTAAGGTGCGGGGGGTGTTTTGTGTGGCTGTGTGCTGTG